CCGTGTGCGGGACCTCGAGCCCATCACTGTCCCGGGGAGCCCCTGGGCTCCCAGGGGAACAAATGAAGGAGATGTGGGATGTACACCAGCCCGGGAAGGGGCCAGGGCCAGCCCGGGATAACAGCTGTGCTGATGTGGGATGTATACCAGCCCGGGAAGGGGCCAGGGCCAGCCCAGGATAATGGCTGCACTGATGCAAACACTTCCAGAAATTCACCTTCTCAAGGCAGGGGTCAAAGTGAGCCAAGGAGGTGCCTGGTTTTGCTTTGCCAAGCTGATGGAGAGGGAATCCAGCGGCTCCCTCCATTTACTGGAGGGAGGGAAGGGCTCAGGAGCGAGGAAGAACGCTGTCCTGAGAACAAACGCTCCAGTTCGGAGGCTGGGAACCGGGGAGCTTCCTAACCGGAGGAACGAGATCTGCAGGGAGCGTGGGGCACTGGGAGCAGACTTGGGGAGGGGTGACAAAGGACGTCCCGCAAGTTCAGACAGATTTTGGAGACTGCCCGGCAGCTCGAGAGGTCTCTGGAGGCGAGTGGGACAGGATCCTGGGATCCCCCAGCGTGCCAGGGAGCACCAGGATGACCGACCGCCCGCCTCCGGAGGCCACGGTGCTGTAGTGGTGACAGTGTGCACCCCAAAACCGACCATCAGCCTGGAGGACATTCCCCAAGCACCAAACCCCGAGCCCCGAGCATGCAGAGCGAGTGAAGCCCTGGGAGCAGTGACAGCTGGAGCCGGAGACAATGCCACCTCGCAAGCTCCCGCCCACGGAGAAGGCATCTTACGTGGTCGAATGGCCAAGGTGCCCGAGGGACATGACCCCCACTGTCAGGCCCTGGAAGATATCGGTGACCTGCTGGGAGCTGAGTCACAAACACACGGGACAGACGCTTAGACTCTGGGACACACCAAGCGCCAACACAGCAGCAACCAGCCCCCAGCGCCGCAGCATCGCCCCACCCGGCCCCGAGTGCCGGAGCAGGGGCTGGCTTGGGGCAGCACCACTCACGGAGCTTTGCCGCAGCCCCGCTGTGCTCCCCGGCCACCAGAACAGTGGATCCTGCTCCCTCGTGCCCGCTGGAACCTCTCCCATGAAACACTTCCCTGGGGCTTGCGCTTCTTTGGCCCGGGTGGTGAGGCAGGGGATGCCCGGGAAGCCAACACCCTGCTTCCCGAGCCGGACCC